TCAAGAAACTCGGCAGAGTTTCGCGCCAAACGCATACAGGCTGTGGCAGAATTTCTGCTCACGATTTGCACGTTAACATCCTCGTTGGGAATATAGTCAAGAAGTTTTGTCCCATTTCTTCCTACATCTAACGTTTCTTCCAATTTACCCACCATAATCGAAAAATAATCGACAAGGATCTCGATTAGTTCACCGCGTATCACCATTTCTCTTCTATCATTGACGTAGAGATAAGACTACTCACAGCATCCGCTACTCAACGCGCCTGATCGCCCCTTCTTCAAATAATTCTTACAGACAAATTATACGTCGGAGAAAGAAATTCCGTGGGACTTTTTCACTACATTTTCACCAAGGATTGCAATAAAAAATACCTTGGTCAAGGAACTCCGTTACATCCTGGGTAAAGGCACATAAACGCGGTAAGAGGAACCTAGTCTTCCTCATCAGCGGGGTTTTAGTTGGCACGTCGCAGCTGATGGAAAATTCTTATTCTAACGTAGCTTACTGAAACGATTAAGATTTTATCAGGTCCTCGGGTCAAGATTTCTATTCGCGAATATTTACTTCGAACGCTTATACTTATGGGATCCTAGGGAAATATTCAAAGTCGGCCGAGTCTTTGATTAAACCGGGAGCCGATTAAGTCGGACGTTCAGGAAACCGCCCTGGAGGTGTTGTTCTCGCAACCCCCGTGGCAGGGCTTACGCGGTGTTAGGCAAATCGTCGAGCTGATTATCTCCGATTGATCGCGACTTAAATCTCGCTAATCGAGGATCATAGGTTGTCAGGACCAGGGTCGAAGGCGAGGGAATTCTCGTCACGTATGAGGCGAGGCGTGCGCTCATAAACGTCGCCCTTCGTTACCCCAACCTCGGCCTTCTCTCTCTCTCTCTCGGCCACCCCCGGACCTACTAACCCTTTTCTGCTTGTTTCCTGCCCGTTGTTTCAAGGCTTGCTCGACATTCTCGGATGATTAATGCAGTCTCTTTGCTTCGAGCCTTTGAAAAGTGCGTTTCCAGGTCTACCCGGAAACGATCCGGATCCACCCTCGACGCGGATTAAATTTCTAAAAGATATCGGACGGTTCGATCTGCAATATCAACATCGCATGTAGAATTATGCGGACTGATTACCATCAATGAAATGAGATCAAATGGATTTCTAAATCAAATACTAGATCCTCTGAGTTCCGTACAACACTTGATCCGAAATATGAAGTAAGACTCATTAATATTCCTAATACTTGAGACCAGGACAGATAATTCTATTTGCAATGTCATTTCCATTTGATATTACCTGCTATCATCTGCGATGCAACGCTGATTGCAGCGAGTAATTAATTTCGCTTAGGAAGTAAACTTTTCGCCTGTTCGATTTTCGACTCGTTCAAGCACCGAGTAGGTAGGTACTTATGAGAAGAAAACAAAGACGTAAATTTATATAAAATGTGTTTGTCAATAATTAACGAAGTGATTCTAGATGTCACAGGAGCATCTTCGGGGGGTCGAGGGTCCTTTGAACGGGGGTATGACTTTTTTACGCACGAGGAAATACTGCAAGAGCTCGCTCAGCTGATACGTAGGATCGGGCGTTATCCTTGTCCTAGGTCGGGAAGGACCCGGTTTATTATCCTCGCAACGGGGGCGACCCGTTACCGAGACGATCCTGGAAAACGTCGAAGAGGTTACGTCCAATTACGTCGAGTGTCTGCCGGATCGATCCTGGATGCAGGATACAGCATTCTGCCGCTCGTGTCCGCGGTTCTTAGGGGGATGAAAATATCGGCGGATCTCGCGGCATTATCCTCCGGGGCGGCATTGCCTCGTCGGCCATTATTATCCCGGCAATATCCTTCGGCGGGGCTCTTGACAAAAGCACAATTACATCGAGTATCCGTGCCACCGATCGATCTCCTTCGTGGATGCAATATCGTTATACTCGGTAACCTGGTAGAGTCCTTTAGAAAAGTCCGGGGGGTCGTCCTAGGCGAGGATCGATCCTGCGGGGAAAAATAGGGCCGAAAGGAGAGCAGCTCCCGAAAAGCGGCGATTATTCTCAGGGATGTTCATCCGACTCAGAGAGGGATGAGGTCAGGGTCCTTGGAGCCCCGAAACTGTCCTTTTTCAATATCTCCATCGATCCTTGGACAGGAGTCACCTCAAACCTGGCGTGCGGAATAAAATATCCAGAGGCGAATAAAATATCCATAAAAATGGCAGGACTCGGAGAGTCAGCGCCGAAGGACCCATCTGCTTCAATTATCCTTAAGAGGCTCCTGGGAACGGAAGTCCCTGTTCCCCGGGACCTTCGCGAAGGAGGGAACCTCGGGTCAGAGTCCTTCATGAAAATGAAATCTTGGGCAATAAGACCTCGGCGAGATGAAATTAAAAAGGGATGGAAAACTCGGAAAGGAGGAAAAACGCCGAGGAGGAGTCCTCGAGATCCTTGGGGCTGCCACCGCCCCGAAAACAATTATCCTTCGAGGTTCGGGCCGCATTCTTTCCGGTTTTTCCTCTCGATCGATCCTATCGAGAGGTTCTCACGGACATCGGAGAAATTTCCGGGGTAAACCCGAGGAGAGGGAATATCCTCGGGCGGAAAAACGGACCCGGGGCCGATCCTTCCCTCGGGAAACGTTAAAACCATTGCCTATCCCCCAGATCTCGGATGTTAATTATTGCTCCATGGATCCCGTTTCTCAAGGTGCCGATTAATCAGGACACGAGGCGGGACGGCGGGATGAAAGATGGATAAGGAGAATGACGAGCGAGGAATTAATTCCTTCTTCGGTTTCCTTCTCGTCCTCCACTCTTTCCACCTCGTGACCTAAATCGCGGAAGGACGAAAATTCCGGGATTTTGCGCACTCATTGACAAATCCTTTGACACTGATACGTGTTATCGGCGCATCTGCATGAACAGTGTTAGACTTGTTAAGGCCATAATTGGATCGATGATTTTGGGGAGTTGGTCGACGATCATACATCATAAAAGTCCTGTCAGATGATAAATATTAATTTTCTAAATGGTGGAAGAATGAACATTTCGCGATTTTTCGCACTCGATGACAAATCCTTCGGCGTTGTTACGTGTAATCGCGCATCTGCATGAACAGTGTTGGGCTTATCAAGGCCCTGATTTTTATAGATGATTTCAATAAGTTGATCAATGATCACACATTGTGAAAATCCTGTCGGTTGACAGGACGTGTCATCGTAATTGACACCTCTACTTTCCCATAGACAAGGAACGAAGCACTTGTAGATCGCGCCCTGTTTCAAAAGTCGAAGGGAGGCGCGTTCCGTTCGAAGGGACTTTCTGCCGTTTCTAATCACGAAAATGGACGGAATGGAAGCTATTGCAGAGCGGACGCGCCATTGGGACGTGAAAAGGAAAGAGAATATTTGTCGGGGGAGTTCCGCCTTCGGCCCGATGCCGGAGTTCCCTCCAGTTCAGGTGATAAGTCGACCAAGGGATAGATAAGGATACTCCTCTTCAAGTAGAATTCTAAAGAAGGAACAGGCATCCCACAGTACCGTTTAAAAAATAAACCCACTTGGTGTGTCCCGAGAGCGGAGGAATTTCTTTTCAGCGGCCACGGTCGAGTTTGCGGGAATTAATTTTGAGAACAATTAATGGATCCAGTCCGATAGTAATGAAATATCGGTCACATTTCTGGAGGATCGGCAATTACTTGGCATTGTTTGAGGATGCGGTGTTTCTAACCCATGTAAATGGAACTTTTCGACAATGGCCTCCCTTTTATTTCCGGTGGAGGGTGACCTGGTCGGAAATCGATCGTTGGATGCACCAATACGGTCGGCCGCGAATCGGCGTTGACCTCTTCTTTCTCTTGTTGCCATTTCCCCTTTCCGACCGAGTGGCGGGCAATAATTTTCTATCGTTACCACGCTCTTGAGAAGTATATTACTGGAATTGAACGCCGCGAGGAAGGTGGAAAAACGCGGGTCGTTTCGCCTTCCTTTCCCTGGGAAATTCCTCACGCGAGGTAATAACTTTCCCAGGTGGTCCCGGTCTATGGGAGGAACGCGAAGATGGAACCTTCGAGAGGGTCCTGGAGGGGGACGACATCTCCCACGGGAATTGGACCCTCGGCGGTCAAGAGGTGTCGTCGAGATCTAATTAGCCCATGACACCGAGCGCGACGTATGGAGGTGTGATTTAGGGGGCGACCTCAACACCCTCCCGAAGTAACCCCAATCCCTGTCCGAATCAGTCCCCGCTTATCAGTCGAAGAGCGCACTTTTTCTCCTCAGGTTAGAAGAGCCTCGAAAAGCCAAGGCTCGAAGTTGAAACAAGTTAGAGTAACCCTAATCCTTGTCTCCATCAACCCATCGCTTATCAGAAGAAGAGTGATCGAAGAACGCTCTTCTTTTCCCCAGGTTCGAAAAGTCAAGGCTTGAAGTTAAACAAAAATTAGAGTAACCTTAACCCCTGACCCCACCAGTCTATCACTGAATAGTTGAAGAGATGCATCATTAATTGAAGTGTGGTTCCCCCCCCCCTTAAGTTCAAAAAGCCTCGAAAAGTTATGGCTCGAAATTAAGGAAAGGGTTAAGGTAACCCTAATCCCGGTCCCAATCAGTCGAAGAGGTTGGAGGGTACTTTTCCCCACCCAGGTACGAAGAGCCTTGAAAAGTCAAGACGCGAAGTTACGAAAAGTTAGAGTAATCCTGTCCCAATCAGTCCACCTCTCGGGAGAGGTTAGAGAGTGCATTTCCTTTGTCTAGATTCGAGAGGTCCAGGAAAATCAAGTCTTCGACTTAAGAAAAGTCAAAGTAATCCTAATTTCAGTACCAATCCATCCACACACCAGTTGTAGAGGTTGAAAAGCAACTTGCTACCTTCCCGACTCGAACAGCCCCGAAAAGTCAAGGCTCGAGGTTAAAATTGGTTAAAGGAACCCCAACCAATGTCCCAATCCACGAGCGAACGGTCTTAATCGAAGATTGTCGAAGTATCGAAGCTCGAAGTTACCTTCGGTGCACATGAAGAGTATGGCAGCGATGGACAGCCCGGCCTGCCATCTCAGAGCCATTTCGCGACCTTGGCGGTCCCGTGGGACCGTTTCCGAAATTCCACTCCTCTTCAGGACTTCATGGCCGCACTTTGTCCTACGAGTCACGCGAAGTTGCCTCGAAGTGAGCTCTAAAGGAGCTGATCGCAGTTTCGAGGTAGGACGGGTCTTCAAGGTGGTGGTGGAGTCGACGAGGTCCTCAAGCTCCGGGGCGATTCACCGGCCCCAAAACGCACAAGCAGCACACAGGGTGGCGAACACATGCACTCTTCGGCACCTCGCGAGTCCCGGACCCGCGACCCCCATCGACGCGCCGCATGTGCCCCGAAGAGGACACCAAAGACCGCCAACGACGGAAGTTCGCCCTTAAACTCGGCAACGCCTCGTCGCCAACGTCGTTCCAGCTCGATTCGATGTCCCCAGAACCCCCGATGCACCCTCGCACCCCCCAACACCTTGGGATTCCACCCCGGGACGGGGCGATATCGCCGGGACGCCTCCTAAGTGGTATCCTCTTCAGGAATACGATTCAAGACCTCGAAAGTCGGTCTCTTCGGCAACGAACTCCCGCCCCGGAAGAGACTTCGCAGCGAGATTGCACTCTTCAAGTTGGATCCAGCATTGGCTCCGCTTGGACTTTCCTAAAGGGTATTGCGACCCTGGTACCCACGATAAGGGATGCAGACTCTCACTGCTGACTCTTCATTTCAAAATTGCTGAAGAGAGGATCATCAGTTCCCAACTTCCTTTCCAGGCTCCTCCAGGGTCGTCATCGGATCTCCATGATCTCGGATAACCCTTGGATACTCGATCCCTGCATTTGAACCTCGGGTTCAATGATCATCCCCCAAACTCGTCCTAATTAGCCTCGTCTTATCCTGATGCCTCGTGATGCTGACGACTGGTGATCCAGGGTGAACCCCGCGAATTCCTTCACAGAAGAGGAACGGACCAGGTGCGACCAGCAACTCTCTTTCTCTACACCAGTACTCGATGATGGATCTGGAGTTCCCAGGATTCAGACGAAATTTCCCCAGGGAATGGAGGTTCCTCTAAACGGTCCAGTTGGTTCCTCGCTGCGAGATCGATCTCTTTGTCTGGAGTTACGCCCGATTCAAGGGCTCCTTTTTAAGGACCCCAGATCCGAGAGATCCGTATCTCGCTTTCACCCACTTCTGGAGTCAGACCTCCACAGTTAGAGCCGGGTCTTCATGGTTCCCATGTTCTATTTCTTCCGTCCACTCTTTGGGCTGGTTTGCGCCCTCCCCCGCGTTTCTCTTCGCGTTTCACCCTCTTTTCCGCGTTTCCCTCTCAGCCGCACCACACGGTGCGAACGCACGAACGCGACATCGCACGCGGACCCGCGCGCACCCCACGTCTTGATCCCTTGGCAGACTTACCCTGACTGGGGAGGTTTTCGGCCGTGGGAGCATGCGCGCTCGCGACCCACCCCCAGGAGCCTGTGGGGGTGCACCGACACGGGCAGGCGCGGATACGTGGGACCGCACACCTTACGTACACGCCACCCTCATCCGTGTTCCCCGATGTGTGTAGAGGTGCCTGGCACCAACGAATGCACACGGGGATGCGATCCGCGGCACCCTCTGTGCACCGGCCGGAAACTCCGTCGAGGTGGTGCATCGAGCGCACGCACTCCGATCTCCGATAGCCTCCCCTGGGAATTTTCCAAAAAAGGAGGAAAAAGTGCTGGTGCCCTGAGAGGGCAGCGGAAATTCGTTCCCCCCCAACTCTGATCGCCGGGTTTATTATCGCGAGCCGGTACCTATTATCGATACCATGGAAGTAATTTCGTCTGGGGTTGATGTTTATATCTAGGGGTGATTCCTGGGATTCCTATTTCGCGAGGGGTCGGTGGGATGAAGGAATTACCGGGAAAAAAATCCAAGGAGTGTTTGCCTTCGCGTTAGGGAGCTTCAGTTTTGGGAGATGTTCTCGGAAGAGGGAGGCTGCGATTGCGGAAATCCTGGAAAAGCTTCCGACTCGTTTGGAGGCATGGCGCGTTTTCGTTTGCCGATAACTTCGGGGCGATTAATTAGCGATTAGGTTACCGGGCACGTATCGAGTCGCGGAAGAGATTCCGGTGGAAGTTTCGCGGATCCGCGGGGGTGTCTTAATCCAGGATTGGATCTGAAGCTCGGGGGGCGATCGAGGGTGTCGAGTCTCTTTACTTTTTACAGTCTCAAGTGACTCTGGGTGGCAAGGGAATGCCTGATGCAGGTTCTACCGAAATGGCGGTTGATTTTGAACTGACTCGTGATATGTAAAGCGGATAGGGGAATTAAATATCATTTTTATACGGCGATAAGAGATATCGACTTCGCGGCAAGTAGAGCGGACGCCTCGGGGGAACCCTCCAGGTGGGGCTGCCAAATGAACGGGCAGTCGGGCTCGATTCACTCTGGAAGTTCCTCTCAGCGTCCTGTTCTAGACGGACGACGTGCAGGAATTAGTAACTGTATGCAATTCGGATTGCAAGCTCCGCAATCGAAGTTATAATTCGCGCATCGCTTGCGGCCGTGCATGGCAGCGCGTATACATAGCGCTTATACTCCGAGAGCTAACAGCGACACTCCGATTGAAGTTCGATCGCAAAGAAAAATTAACCGCTCAGCTGGAAATGCGTTTTCCGCGTTAAATATGCACGCGATGTGTAAATACGGTAAAACTCTACCTCAGGATTGCGGAGCTCGACTGAGTCTCGCGCCAAGTACGTATCTACGCGCGTAGGTGGAAATGTGGGCGCACGCTCCCGAGTTTATTTACGCCAAGGTTCGACATAGAAATTGCGGAAATATTAATATCTTTAAATATGGGTGGGTAATTACGGTAAAACTCGATCTTAGGATTGTGGAGCTCGACTGAGTCTAGCGCCAAGTGCGGATCTATGTGTGGAGGTGTTAAGTGCATGCTACCGAGTTTCTTTACAAGGTTCGGCACAGAAATAAGGGAAACGTTAACGTCTCTAAATACTGGGAGTTCCCCGGTACCGAATGCTGGCCGGGAGGCGGATGATTTTGTAATTTCGTCCGCGTCGTCGACGTCGAGCGTTATTTCCGCTGCGGGACGTTTCCCCGACGCTGATGGCCTCTTTTTGAGGGGAGCCGGGAGAAAGTCCTAGAAAATTTCATCCCTGCTCCGCGTGCCGGCTTTGGCAGTTGTAAATAATGTCCCGGGTGACGTTCGTGCCTTTCCGAGCACCGCCATTTATCAGTCCTAGGCCGCGCGTAACTGATAACGCGGGTGAGAGACGGCTCCTGGCCAATGGGGATCGGCGCTTCCCTTTTTTAACGTCACCCCCGACACGTCCCCTGTCCACGGATCGCGAAATGTCCCCTGTCGATGGCTTCATCTACCCCCGAAAAGCCTCAATTTCAATTCGCGCCGGTCCGTTTCGCGCGGACCGAATAAATCGCCCGAAACAATGCGAATCGCGTTTGCCGAGCGATTCCCCCTTAGAAGGGAAGAGGTCCATCCATATTTCTTATCAGAATCTTCTTTTTAAATTTCCACCGCGCGACAAGTGTATATTGGCGCCTATAGCGCGGAAGTAGTTCAGGTGGAATACTGATCAGCCGGGATATATGTACATCCAGCCGCGCGGTATAGACTGGCTGACCATATTGTATTTCATTATTCCCGTTTATACGAATTTTTTGGGATTTTTTACCATGACTTAAGGGAAAGACACGTGTACACTGGCGGACATGAATGCCTCCCCTTCTTACCCCGGCGATGCCGTGTACCTGGAAAGAAAGCATTCATGTCCGCTAGGGTACGGTTGCGCAGTATTGATTGGCTGATTAGGAATGACTCGAACTACTCGCCGGTCCGATTTAAGGAGAAACGATTTAATTTGCAAGCCGAGGGCAACAATTGGACGGAACGATTTTTACCCTTCGATTTTTCAGCGGGGAGAGGGATAATTAAGGTACTCGGATAAGTACTACTCGTTTGAACGCAGTTACGAGTCTGTGCTGGTACGTACCACCAAGACAACTACTAATTCGTGGGTGCACGCCAACCTAATTACTCTGAACTGTTTATCTTCGAGGAAAAGAGTTGGAATCAAGTTGCAGAGCGTTTCGCTACCTCATTGCAGAAGTAGATGTCTATCCGTGGCGGTCTTCCATCAATAGTATTTGTTTACTCATGTATACCAGCGGACATGAACGTTTCCTTTCCTATTAGTGTCGCCAGGGTAAGCAGAGGAGGCATTCACGTCCGCCATTGTACATCGATATTTCTTATTAAAATCTTCTTTTCAATTTTCCACCACGCGACAGGTGCAATTTGATGTCCATAAAGCTGGCATGCCACCTTAGCACAATTCAATAAAATTTGTTGCAGAATTTATTGCTAATTTATTGCTATTTCATTGCTGAAAAATGCAAAATTGTAGGGTAATATATGATTTCTTCATGGTGAATTAATTGCTAATTGCATATTGGCGTCTATAGCGCGTAAGTAGTTCACGTCGATTACTGATCAGCCGATATATACGTACATACATGTGTCTTCCACGTATGTCATGGGATAAAATCCCCACAAAATTCGTATAAACTTGAGAAATGAACCAAAAAATGGGAACGCATCCGCGGCCATTCCGCAGCAGAAAACCAAGAGGGCCCGCGTCTTCTGCGGGATCGCGGACTTCTGGGGTAGCGGGAGAACCGGAGCGTTCTGCGCGCGGATTCGCGGCATTTTAAACGGAAATTACCCCTCAAAGGCGCCGCGATAATGCGATATAGAGCGGCGCACCCTGGAAATCGCACGCTCTTACTCCTCTGAAAGGGGCCCCGAGATTTTCCTTCCGTAACGAGTGCCCTGGAACCCCGACGTTTTCGTGGCGGGCTAAGGCTTTTCCCTGAAAAGCTCGAAAATTGTTTAAACCTCGGCGAGCCGGGCCGCACTCGTCCGCCGCATGCCGTTCCGGTAATCGCTTCCTGTTTCGCGTGCCTGGAAAAAAATTCTCCCTCAGATAATTCGTACAGAGAGGTCTT